CTTAAGTCTTAATCTGAATTATATAGGATATTGATATCCTTTGATTCCGATTTTTGAATTCACGCGATATTTGGATTCGCGATTTTTTGTTTGTGCATTTTATTTTGAGTTTCGTGATTGATTTTTTTGAGTTCGTGATGTTTTGGGTATTTCGCGTTTTTTTGATTTCGGATTGTGTTTGATTTGTAGTCACGTTATATTTGATTTCGTATGATTTTTCTTTGAGTTGGATTTTTGAGTTAACGCGATTTTTTTGGAGTTGCTGATTTTTTTTGATATGGTCGTATTTTTTTGTTTTGGATTTTTTGATTCAGCATATATTTTATCTCGATCTTTTGATTTCGCGATTTTGTTGTGTGATTTTGTTTTTGATTTCGCGACTTTTTTTGATTTCGCGATTTTTTGATTTCGCGATTTTTTGATTCGCGATTTTTTGTTGATTCGCGATTTTTTTGATTCGCGATTTTTGATTGTTCGCGGATTTTTTGATTTGCGCTTGATTTTTTTGATTTCGCGATTTTTTTGATTTGCTCGATTTTAGTTTTGGATTTCGCTGATTTTTTTGATTTCGCTGATTTTTTTGGAATTTAGCGATTTTTTGAATATTTGCGATTTTTGATTTCGCAGATTATATTAGTTTTGTTGAGATATTCGCAGATTTTTTTGAGTTGCGATTTTTTTGAGTTCGGATTTTTTTTGGTTCGCGAATTTTTTGATTCTCCTGAATTTGTTGGTGAGTATTGCGACTGTTTATATTTGAGTTCTGGCCGTTTTTATGAAGTTCGTCTGATTTTTTTTGTATTCTCGCAATTTTTTGATTTCGCGATTTTTTTTGATGCGGCGATTTTTTTGATTTGCGATTATATCTGATTTTCGCATTTTTTTGATTTTGCAATTTTTTTGATTTCGCCGATTTGATTTGGGCGATTTTTTTGATTTCAGAGATTTTTAATTGATTTCGCAGATTTTTTTTGCATATCAGTCGATTTTTTTTGAATTGCTGATTTTTTTGATTTGATTTTTTGATTTTGCGACTTTTTTGATTTCGGATTTTGATTAAATGATATTCGCACGATTTTTTTTGGATTTCCGGCCCGGGAGTTGTTGATTCGGTTGTTCTTGATTCTCGCGATTATTTTCGATTACGCCGATATTTTGGCATTTGCGGATTTTTTTGATTTTAGAAGATTTTTTATGATATTTCGCGAATTTTTTTTGTATTTCTGCCGAATATTGTTTTTGGTAAATGGGCCGCGAAATATTTATTCTGTATTCTCTCTGATAGAACGATGGTGTATGTGAATTTTTTGAGTCTTGCATTGGTTGGGTTTCTCGGCCATAGGGTTACGCGATGTTGAATGCCGTTTTTGCGGCGTTTAAAGGTTTCCCTGGTTCGCTTGTATCGGCAGGCGCGCGTCGAGACCGGCCTCCTGGACGGGTCGGTGCGCGGCGCCTACAGCTACATCGACGCCAACGGCAAGCTCATCAACGTGCAGTACCTGGCCGACAACAACGGCTTCCGCGTGCTGGGCGCCAACAACCTGCCCGAGGCGCCCGCCGCCAACCCCCTCAAGGGGCCCGAGCCCGTCAAGGACACCCCTGAGGTACACGTGCGCACTCAGCACAGCGCCGGGTCCATGGAAGAGCAGTACGCGTTGCTCCCGTGCGAGGAATTTGCTTGAGCTTCAATGTAATCCTAATTTCATAGAGCCTACCATCATAAATCCATCACACTGCAGAAACTTAAAGAGTTCGTGTCAGCAACAAGATAAGCAACACTAATCGTAAATGTTAACATTCCCTAGCATTTCATAAATATAAAGCAGACATACAAAGTAAACCTAGGCATAAATGATGTAAGTATTTGAACTTGTTTTCAGCTATTTTATGTCCACTAAACAGCAATTGGCCTCGTTAGAGTCTGGGGTTCCTTGTCAGGCACCCGACCAAGAATACGTGATGTTTCGAATTCGCTTAACCTTCGCGACGTAGTTAACGAATTTGGCTAGTGACGCCGATTTCGTAGTCTTCGCCTCGCAATAGAGCCATCCCGGCATTCACCTGGGTGACCGAGGGAAAGCACGAAAACCCCGGTCAGGATGCCCGGCTTGGGGATTCAACCAGACCCTCCCAAATGACACAGCGCGCTACGCCCTGAGTCGCTTCGCTTAGTCACGCATGTACGAGTATAATAATCATGAACGTGTAAGTTTCAGAAAAATAAAATAAAATTGTTTTAGAATGGAGTGAGTGAAGTCATGCTCAGGTTTCACTATTCAACTTTCTTCGCTGCCATTATGCAAAAGAATTATGCAATGAAGTAGCGTGAACTGGACCTCTTGAACTTCATGAATATCTAATTGATTGCGGAAAACCAACATTAAAGATAATGACACAAGCGATAATTACGATGTCACCATCAAGAGTCTTCAGCACCAGTTGTGAATCATAACAAGCCTTTTGGCACCCAGTGCGTTCTGCGGGGCATGCCAAAGGGTTATTATCGAACTTTAATGTCAAGGGGTGACAATATTCACAGCAGGAACTACTCAAGGTTAGTCATACTAAAGACGCAAAGGCGATAAAAATGTTTGTCAAGGTGCTATTTTGGCGGCCCCGCCCTTGTAGGAATCCTGTTTAGATTAGGAACCAGTTTCGTTTGGTGTTACTAAACGCTCCAAAGAATGTCTGGTTTACAATGAATAATATGCAAAACTCTTATTAACGTTTAGTACATTTTTTTCTTTTTTGAGGAATAACTAGTGCACCCATTTTATTAAGAAACCTTATATTTACAGAATGAGAATAGACATACTTCATATTTTAAAATCTGAAAAGTGAATGTGGATTTCGTTTAAATGCATTTGTTGTGTTTAAACGATATCAAGTGATTTTGAACGAATAAGATTTTTTGCCGTAACAAATAATCATGATCATCGACTGTAAAAAAACTATTATTGCAAACATTCACTGACGTCAATAAAAAACCATGACTTGCTACTTTGATTACTCTCGGCCTGCGTTCTATTCCTCAATTCAAACAGAAGGGTTCTGTAACATATAGTCCAATGCCATTTCAGTGAAGTTGAATTACTGGTGTAAGGGAAATGTATCACAGCCCCGATTATAATTATAGAGAATGTTTAACAAACTCTAAATTCTTACTCTGTCATTCGTTGTCATTATTGATTTCAAAGACACAAACTGGAAGGCTTAGAAGAGTAAAGAGGGATTTTTTTGCAAAAATGTGGCATAGGTTATATGTTCCTTAGCCCTTCTATTACTTTATTTCAATCTTTTAACTATCATACATCACAACTAAAATACTAGTCCATTCCTTCACAAATTACTTTAGTGAAGAAAAACAACACATTTAGTAATTATCCTTATCGTTGTAAGTTCAAAATGTATACTTCTCGCAGCATATTTCGTCTCATATTTTTTTGAATGCGTAAATGTAGTAGAAATACACAAGTGCGAATTGTTGGGTTGATCGCTGGTTAAATAGGAAGCATCACAATTATCTTATCATGATAATAATGGCAGGATAAATGCACGAAAACCAGATGCAAAATAATAGAATGAGATACAAAGGGAGCGCGTGAACATCGAGAAAATCTATCCAGCTTTGCCTATAACAAATTCTTACATTTGACCAGGATTTGCACTATCACTTAGTAAACAGGAGGCTATAATTCTCAAACTAATAAGTAATGAAACCTTTTAGTCCTCAAGACCAAATTCAAAATGATGCGCAGCCAAAACATATGTAGAGTTTATGTTTGACGTGAATTAATAATCAACATGAATCGAACGATACATAAAATATGGAAATATATCTCAGACTGTAGAACATAGTCAAGATATACATGAATACAAACTCTCCCATTACGTTGCCATTCGGTTTTGTACGGCGTGGTCGAGTGTTGGCCGAGGAATTCCCATCCAGGTATCTCCCCCCAGCAGGGCATCAGCCGTGCCGGGACAAGTTGTTAGGTCTCGACTGATCTTCCGTCGTGTGTGGTGCTTTATTCCATTTACATTATCTTTAGGATGGTAATTAATCTTAACCCTTTCGTCCACACCACACGAGAATGGCTTGGATGAATAATGATGAGACACGTGTGATATGAATGTTGGAATTATTGAATGAGAGGCCGGGGAAATGAAAGAACTTCGAAAAAACCTACATCGAACCTGGTTTCCCCACAACAAATTCCACATCGATTAACCCATATTTGAACCTTGACAAATGTGCATTATTAGTTTTTCCGATTTCGCTAGAGACATTGTTTCTTCGTTTACCTAGGGAAAAATATTTTTATTGCGGGAGTTGAGATCAATCATCGTAATATGTTCCCATGCTAGCGGCAGCGAAGGTAGTCGTATTATATAGATTGATGTTATCGCCCATGTCAACTGCATGGTCTTCAGTTCCACCACTGTGTAGCGAATGGACTTATCCGTGGCGGTGTTCCTCCCCTGCTGTATGTTGAAATCCGGCACCGACCTACACGAGGTTTGGCCGGGGATTTCCCATCCAGGTATCTCCCCCAGCAGGGCACCAGCCGTGCCGGGACAAGTTGTTAGCTCTCGACTGATCGTCCGTCGTGTGTGGTGGTTAAGAGCATGTGTGTGTGTGTGTGTTTGTATGTGTGTGAGTAAGAAGATAAATTAGAACAAGGAATAAGGAAAGATCACGCGCTGTCCGTGACCCGTTTTTAAGGTACTGTACCGGCATTCGCCAGGTATTCGTCGTAGAAACCACGGAAAATTAACGATTAGAGCAGCGAGCCACTAGAATCCCGCTGCAGAAAGCGTTTGAATTGGATCTAGCTAGAAAATATATTATTACTGAGCAGATAGGCCGTGGTCCAGATGAAGTCGTACTTCCGGTCATATCGTCTGCAACTGTGCTGGACATCAGCAGCAGTGGGCAGGAGCGCACCACAAAGAATATCCCACCAAGTACCCCTCCCCGGCGCAGAATGATGTCTGCTGCATTTGCTGACGTTTAGAAGTAGGACTTCAACTGAACCACGGGTAAACACCCGGTATACAATTTAATAATAGACGCCGACACTGAAAGTTCACCATGTTTTATATATACTAGACATAATATAAAATCCGCCACCTTCGGATCTGAAAGCGTAGCTTGCAGAGCAGAATCGCTGCAGCGGCAGCAACAAAGTTGGCTGCAAACTAACTCATCGAGTGCGTATCATTGCAGGTGGTGGCCGCCCGCGCCGAGTTCCAGAAGCAGTTCGCGGAGGCTGCCGCCGCGGCCGCCGCCGCCCCCGAGCACTCGCAGTCGCAGTCGCAGTCGCGCAGGAAGCGCCAGGTGCTCCTCACGCCCTTCGCCGCCCCTCTGCACGTGCCAGCCGTCGGCAAAGCGACCGTGCGCGTGCAGCAGTTCGAGCCCGTGGCCGGCGCCAAGGTGCCCGCCAGCACGCAGAAGGTGGAGCTGAAGGAGAGCGACAAGGAGGTGGCCGTGCCCCTCGCCTACGCCGCCGCCCCCGCCCCCGCCGCCTACGTCGCCGCCGCCCCGCACGTCTACTCTGTCGCCGCCCCGCACGTGTACAGCGCCGTCCCTCAGGTGTACGGCGTCGCTCCCCAGGTGGGTACTGCGTGGCGGGAAATTTGGCATCGAAAATCAACTGAAGGAATCGGGTAGACATAATCATTCCCTCTATAAATATTGTTCAATACGAACACGACAAACGGCCTAGAAAATGGAGCCTCATAAGATAGACTGCATTTATAATAATTCTAAACCCAAAACGGTAGTTTATTGTTAATTTAAAATGTTCAGTGCCAACATGAAGCCAAACCTTCACGTATGGAAGTATAGATAGAAGACTGTAGAGCAGAATTCACCAAGAAAAAATACGCTAAGGAAAGGAGATAATTTTGTATAATTTCTATGAGAAACCAATAACCAAAAACCGTAAGTGTGCTCCTGTTAGATAATTACCGCTAGTTATGCATCAAACACATTTTAATTCAAAGGAGATAGCAGTTGAGGGGGCAATCGCACATGCAACCCGCATCACACAAAATTTTATTGTTGTGCATAACTTTGAACCTATGCGTTCTAAGAAATTAAACCAGGGTATTTGTGACTCTTAGGACACGATATATATATATATATATATATATATATATATATATATATATATATTATGCCGTAATCTAGACACTGCGCACTGTTAGAACGTTCTATTACTTTTTCAAAGAATTGCTCACTCCTTTATGCGGGTTGTCCAAAGCGTTGGAAGTTGTAATTCAATAAGCAGCTTTTTCACTTTTAAAAAACAATATTTAAAAAATTTCTACATAGTAACACTCGTGTAACATATGTCATAAAACATTTTTATCCAGGAAAATGATCAAACGCACTCTCCCTTCACATTTTTCAACGACTCGAAACAGATTCAATGATTCACAGATTCCAACCGAGTCTGCACATCAAACGATAGGAGTCAAGAATGAAATGGATTTTCTCAAGCTAAATGGGATAGCTATGTTAGCACACTTGGTTATATGCTCAAAGGTTTCTTCCTTAAAGCATTTTCGAATTTATCAAATTGCATTAAGGAATAAAATACAATGAAATATAGCATTTAATGCGATATTAAAAATTGTAAGCTATACCGACTGACCAGAAAAAACAGAATAGAGCCATGTTTGAAGACAAACCAACGCGCAATACACGCACTTAGAATTCTACATTGCAGTCAGTAGGTCTTGTCCCTCTTTATTCCACAATTCTTGCACATTTAACAGTAAGCAAGTTATAATTTAGAACGCTAGACGCATAGTTATATCACATTGTGGTATTTCATTCAAAGTAGGTTTCATCCATAAATGCATCTACAACAAATATAAGTGTCCTAAATACAATTCTTTCAAAATCAAGGTTTTAACTTTTAAAATGTCCTTCACCTAAATAATTTGAGCCAAGCACTAAATACTGAGACAACTTTTTTGTATGTTTTTCTTCTAATACGGAAACGTATTGGCGCACCCAGGAGAGGAGTACTTGAGGGGCTTCAGTTTTTCAGGCTGACGATTACACTACTTTCTCTTCTTACAAAGTAAGGATGAGAAAATAAAATACAGGTTTTATTAATTTCCTATTCTAACGAAAGTCATTCAGTCGTTCAATTGTTAACGTTATAAATATTAACTATAAGTCAACAAATTAAAATATATTATAAATTCAGTTTCAATTAAAAATTCTTTAATGGGAAAAAATCAGATCTGGTGGATCATACACCTACAGTCCATTCAGAGAAACATTCTAGGTGTGCCTCCATAGAATTACAATCCACGTGCTTCAATATAAAAAAAATCTTGAGAGAGACTGATCTGATTGCAGGAAAATTTTCGAAAGAATCTTGGTGGCGATCTTTAATCTCACGAACCTCTCATCTAATTTTTTTTAAATGTTATATAAATGTTAATTAAATACATTTTCTGAAATATGTATTAAAAATATAATATATTTGAAAAGAACGGTCATAATTCATTGTTTCATCTTTGTTCATTCGTCTTCTGTTCCCTTCACATCAATATTATCCTTGGAAGCTTCGAGGGGAAACGAAACAAATGGTGCGTGCTTTTGTACCTCGCAGGTGCTGGCCGCCCACGCCCCCGCCCCTGCCCTGGCCAAGGCCACCGTGAAGGTGCAGCAGTACGAACCCGTGGACGCCAAGGTGCCCGCCAGCACCCAGAAGGTGGAGCTGAAGGAGACCGAACAGGAGGTGGTGGCTCCTATCGCCTACTCGCATCTGCCTTACTACAACATCTTCGGCTAAGCGACTGCCTCCCTGTACGCTGCTCCATTTCCAATTTCCCTTTTCTTCTAACTCTTCAAAGTGTGTTAGCGTGTGCCATGTTATCTGCTCCGACTTTCTCTTCTCTTTGAGTAAATTGTTCTCATAACCTTCGAGATTATGTGTAGACTACTGTGTATTTCGATGTGCCATTTATAATGAAATTAGCTCTTCTTGAAAAAAATGAATTCAATGCATGAATTTGAATTCAATTACGTCTTATTTCGAGAGGTACAATTGTAGTACACGTATGTCTTCAAATTTCACTTTGTTTTTTTTTCATGTAATATTGAACGTTTTGAAGATGACTTCGGCTAAGATATTGATATTTTTGATTAAGGATGTAATTAATTTTGAAAAAATCCCTGATTTGGAATGAAGCTTCATTGTACTTCAATTTCCTGGTACCAGGAAACAAGACGTACTAAGATGCTTATTGGCAGTACATGTTAATTTATGCGATAAATTATGCGACCAAATCTGGGGCGTTTTTTGAAATTTATATTTTGTAATAAACTATTCAAATGAACCTGCATTTCTGTTTATTTGTTACTGACATTTCACTACCTAGTATTTGAATTTTGCAAGGTTATTAAATCTGAGAGGATGCATCATTACTTCTGTAACACGAAATCACGTAAATTAGTCGTTACAAAATTATTTGTATTTTGGAGTTATATTTTCAAATTATTGTTGAATTATGAACTCCATGAACATTTCCAATATCTCTCACTACAATAAATCAATATGTATAAGGTCAGTTATTGCAGAAAAGAACAAATCATTGCCTACGTATGCACTAGTATTCACGGTTCTCGAAATCACAAGTCAACAATATACCATTATTTTGTAATGTTATCAATAACCAAGGAAAAATATTATCAATAACCTTAAAAAAAACAGATTCCTTGACGAGACAAAATAACTCTCAACTTTCTATTGGATTAGTTTGCCTTCTTTTTGAATGTGGATGCAACTGTTATATTAACAGTTCAAGAAGCGAACACGACAAAAATATACTATTACACATGTAGGTAGAAACTTTTATTGCAATATTTTACTTATCTATCTAGATCTTTTATTGCAATATCTTACTTGTCTATCAGAAACATTATTTCGCCTTAATCATTCACGTTATAGATTACAATAGTGGAATTGATACTGATTTCTTGTAAATAACAATACATGGTGTTGTCTGTTGGAGAAAGCACTACTTGAAGATTATATTTCAAAAGTCTGGGCATTTCGTGTTTTGAATCGTTGAATCGAAGAAGACTAGCTTGCACACAGTATTCATTTGGATGTGATCCAAATTACTCACAGTACAATAAAGCCAAAATAAGTACCCAGAACAATAGGGTGCCAGAACAGTGTTATCAGATTGAGTAATAGATTCACTCACCGAGAATTTATTGCATGGGCAATACGTCTATTAAATAATTAATTTTTATTTGTAATGTTCAAAAAAGTATAACTCAGTTCTGTAATATACGCATTTTATGTTACGATTGTTTATGCAGGGAATTACTGTTCATAACATCCGCCCAGGCCAACACCTCTGGGCCGTCGGTAAGCTCCTAATTCCGGTTCAGTGTTAGCGGTCCCGAACAGACACATCCGCTAAGGTCCCCCAGGCGCAGGCAGCGCGGCACGCGCCGGTGCGGGTCGGGGGACCGAAAACAAGGACGGGCGAGCGAGAGGCAGGGAGAGACACGGCAAACAACGGAACACGGCCCACGTGCCTCCCGCGACCTCATGCGGCAGCGAGACGACGGAAACGGTGGAGGCGTTCGAGGCCCACACGCCGCGTGCCGTGAGCCCCGAGAGCGAAAGAGGCGGCAACGGCGCGGCCGCGGCGGCAAATGGACGGCGACGAAAAGTGGTAGGCAGTTGTGTTGGAGAGAGGGTTGGGTGCGCCTATACCACGGAACGGGGAGGGGGCGACGGACGGAAGTGGGTGCGGGTCGGGTGCCTGGGAAGAATGCGGGTAACAGGCGGGAGGGCAAGGGGCAGAAGTGGGCAGGAGAGGGAGCGGGGGGAAAGGACGGGAGTATTGGGGGCAGGGACCGCATGGGCAGGGGAGAGGGCTGGGGGAGAGCAGGGGTGAGGAGGGGCGAGGGATGGGGCCAGGGGCTCTAGCAGGATAGAGGTGATTATGATAGAGGGATAGAAGTGACGAATGGAGGATGGCAGCTGACGGTGGTGGTGTTTGCGGCGTGAAAGGTGGTGGTTCTGTGGTGGTTGGTGGGGAGCG